AGGCCAGGTTGGACGGGGCTGTGAGCAACCTGGTCTGGTTCAAGGTGTCCCTGCTCCTGCGGGGGGGTTGGACTAGATGACTTCTGGGGGTCCCTTCCCACCCAAAACATTCTATGATTCTATGAAAGCTCGACCGCGAGCTCCCTGCACGGCGAGCCAGCGCATCGCCGCCACCCTGGCTTTCACTCGCTTTTCCCCCTCCCCGTGCGCGTGGATCCACGGTACGCAGCGCGGCGGTCCGCTGCAACGTCACACGCCGCTTTTCCAGGCTCCAGAAGCTCCCCGTGGCCACCAACACCGCTGGGACGCTGGCCAAGAGGAACGACAGGGCCATCCCCGCAAAACCTCCCCGCGTCCAGGCTTGGGATTTGTGTTTGCTAAGACGCCGCGTAACCACAAACCCCTGTCAGCTGCAAAAGGGGGAAAAAAAACCCAACCCCTTCGGGCAGTCGCATCCCTGTCTTTCTGGAACAGGAGCCCAACCCAATTAATCGGGAATAATCATCAAGCAAGTGACAGTTTGCTTTGGCAAGCAGTTATTGGGGAAGCAGAGCTGCTCCGACTGCATCGCCACGACGCCCCTGCCCGCGGGGAGCAATCCTTCGCCGCCGCAACCACCAGGGGCTTTGCCAAGAGCCCCTCGGCCGGGACCTCCGGTCATTCACGGGATGCGTCCGTGCCACAGGACCCAGGGAAGGGGGTCAGCTTTACACCTCGCAGGGCACAATACAAAATAAAACATTTATAGAGACAGATCTAAACGGATATAGAACAGCAAGGGGAAGCTCGGCCGCCCCGGGCCCGGCAGCGCCAGGGGAAGGATCAACCTCACCACCTGCAAAGGGCAGCGAGACGCCACGGCCACGGCCACCATCTGCAAGGCGACGCGCGGCAGCACGGCAAGCGCTTTGTTATTTTGCCCCCTGCCAGGCTCCCACCCAGTCCAAGCACAGTCGTTCTGCGGGGTCGTTTGGGGAGAGCCGGGACGCTGCGAGTCCTCCAGGTACCAACGTCCCACGAGCAGCCCCCCCCCCGTGACGCCCGGCGTGGCCAAACCAAGCAGCGCTCAGCGGGTTTTTCTTTAGACAAACCCACGCGCGGTCCTGCCGGCCCCAAAGGCGCCTGGAGAGGCTCCTGCAGGTCCCGGGGATGCGCTTCCCTTGGAAAAAAAAAAAACCAATATTGCACCGTGCCATTTAATGTGCCTTGGGGGAAGGACCCTTTGCTAAGGCCCCCGGCTCCAGGATGGGAGAGAACCTCCTGGAAAAGATGGAAATAAGCAATTGCAGAAAACCTCTGCAGATGGAAATATTCAGCCGATGCCCGATTATCACCGCCGAAGCCACCTCTGCTCTCCTAAAAGCCTAACTCGAGGGCACAACAGTACTGCAGGTTCGTTAACAAACGCAAAGCGCAATCCTATGGTGCAACTCGAAGGAGAACAAGCTTCCAGCCAACCCTCATCTCCACCCACCACCTACCAGCGCTCGCGCCCAAGGTAGCGACGTGCCTCTTCCATCAGGAGAGGGGATGGAGGCGAACCCCCCCGCCCCGGGGGCAAGCCCAGCAAAGCCACGAAGACGCTCAAAAGCCAAGGTGCCTGTTGAAACCTTGTCCCCCTTCCCGCGACAGCGAAGAGAAAATGTCAGATGTCAGGACAGGAAGGTCGGCGCGCTCACCTACGGGGGCACGCGCTCTATTTACGGGCGGCGTCGGTCAAGAAAAAGCCTCCGAAAAAGAGAGTCGGGTTTCAGATGGCCGAGCTGGCCCCGCAGGGAACGCAGCTCGGCAGCAGGTTGGGGCTCGGAGCAGCGGCACAGCCACCGCGTCGCCGACACGGAGCTCGACGCCCTTTCGCACCGGTAAAACCGGCGTGGAAAAGCTTCGCGGCCGGGTCGGTGGACGGCACGGGGACGTGCGGAGTTGCGGCCTTGGGAAACCTCCGGCGCTGAAAAGCGGTGCCCGGCTGGGCCGGGTAAAGGATGTAAACGCTTCAAAGCTGCGAGCTGAGGATTTCCTCAGGCAATTCAAACTTTTGAGGCCCAGTTGATGGGTTTTAGCGTGACGGAGACAAGCCTACCCGTTACGATGAGCCACGACGCCTTTGCTCGCCCTCTTGGAGAGGGGAGCGGTTGTGCCCAGGACCCCTCGGCCCAAAAGGAAGAGGGAAGAAAAGGAGCTTCTGAGCTTCATGACTCCCCCCCTCAAAGCAAAGCTGGACCTCCCCTGCACACGCTAAATTAGAAGCTCATTCCCTCCCCATCAAAGGTAATGTAGGAGGAATCCCTCCTCTGAAAAGCTGCTGCTCACGGGGCGCAGGGTTGCGACCACTGGGAGAGGGGACAGACGTGCTCCCTCCCCGAGCTCGCACCCCTTTGGGGCTTTTTTTTCCCCCAAGCACCCCAATTCAACAAACCCCAAAGGTTGTGGCAGATCCTAACAGTGCTTGGGGATAACTTTGGGAAGGCGCTGGCTCTCCTTGTCCCTGGAAGGAAGGAGAGCGATGGAGGCTGGATGAGAAGAGCTGCTCCTCCGCTCCCCCTGGAAAAGCTCCTTTCCAGCCCGTTTATACTGGGAGCGACCACCCAAGGGGGCGTTTTTGATTCTGACTTTTGCCACTTCCAGTTGCAGCCCCCTCAGAAAGCCCCAGTCTTGCATCAAGGCATCCTCCTGCGGCGTCCTCCTCCTGCATGGCTCAACCTCAGCCCCAACCTCCAGACCTTTCCTCGCCGCCCGCACGCGTGCCCGGCTCCTGCCTCGGGTCTGCGGGGAGGGATCCGTCTCATCCTCCCTCCTCCCTTCCAGCCGAGGGGGATCCCGGGATGAAAACAAGCAGAACAGAAGCCGCACTGGAACTCCTAAAGCTCACCCCCCAAATTACACCGAGGCAGCTCCCTCGCCGATGGCGCTGGATCGGCACCGGCCCACGACGGAGCGGATTAATGAAGGACGGCGGCGTGGAAGCGCGGGGCCGCTTGCAGGCCGACTCGGCAGGCCCTGTCCAGTCCAACGCCTCCTCCACGGGCTGCGCTTCCCCGTTCTAACGCACGCAGCCAGGAACGAGGCGTTATTGGGTCTCGAACGGCGAGCACGACGCGGCCCTTTGGGTGACAGAGCCGGGATCTGGAGGGCCGAGCGGCGAAGCAAGCTGGGAGCCAGCGCCGGAGCACGGGCCACGTACTTGTGCAATACGGCTCCCGCGGCCCGGGGCATGAGGGCCCCC